CACACAACAAACAAATCACTTTTTCCATTTGTTCTATTACAGCTAATTGCAGCTGCCATTCACTGAGATTTATGACGTAATGTTTTTTGTTTTGTTTTTTTCTGATCTGCTTGAGCTTCTGCACCTGTCGTTTTCAATTTAGTAAATTGTACATACTTAGTTTTTTAACTCAAAGAATATTTCGAAGTCTGCATAATAAACACATTATGATGTTACATCATTGCATAGATAAAAACCATTTGAACTGAATCACTCCATTGTACTTGGCTCAATCATTGGTGTGTTTATGTGCACTTGTTGAAACGAGCATGAACCCAACATACACACTGCAATATAACAGTATTATCTTAGGCCTTGCAGTAAAGCATCAGTCTATCAGAACAATAAAGTTGTACCTCATAGGAAAAAATAGTTACACTGCTTGTTTGTTGTTGTTTTTCTTTAAAATTAAATAAAATTTAAAGTCCCGTTGCTCAGTTGCATTGGCTACACTTCAAGTGCTCAGTAGCCCTGTAGAGCTAATGGTCACCATATAAGAGAGTGCAGATAAAGAGTTGAAACCATCAGTGAATTTGAAATGCTTCTTTTTATATTGTCGTTGCTTTGAGTTCATCTGCCCTTCAAATTCTGTTGCCCTTACCTTTAAAAAGAACTTTTTATTTTTAATGTCCAGGTTGTTGAGTTTGTTCCTTTTTTTCTTTTTGTCTGTCATTTGTTCATTGACTGGGTTTCACAAGCGAATTATAACAGGCTTAGCATTAACCATTCTGTTGTAGATGGAACAGGCACAATTGAGAGAAGAAGGTTCCTCCCTGGCTCTCTGATTTCTGCCTAGCAAGAGTCAGGGTCCAGAGTTAGGATTTCTGGACTTGTATCTTGGCTGTTATTTACTTGTTGTAATCTTGGGAAATTTGTTTAAATCTCAGTGACCCAGTTCCTCATTTGTGAAATGTGATTCTAGTGCCATCTCCTTTATGGGTGTGACTAGAGAGTAAATGCACGGAGTCCTTGGTAAGCATGGACTTTTATGTTTGTTAAGTACCTTGCTCAGGGCCTGACTTTATCCTCCATTATATTATGTTCTTTTGGGAAGAGGGGGTGTATCCTCTGTGCTATAGAAAGGTTTCTTCTTTATTCTGTTACTAAAGCTAGGATGAGGGAGAACAAACAAGGCTGCCGATCGGGTGGAAGTGCAGTAAAGGAGCTCCGCCAGCAACAACACAGAATACCCGACCAAGCAGGCTCAGGGGATGGTCCCAGAACTCTGAACCACATATAAAGGATTATTTAGAAGGTTGGAA